TGCACTTAATTCTCCTAACAACCCATGAGATAGCTTCACACTAAAGTAGACAGCCCTGGTGACTCCATCACATGGCTGTGTTCACAGCACTTATCACTAACTAAAATTAACTCATTTACCACTTGTTTATGTTCTGTCTTCCCCAATTAGACTCCGAGTTCCATGGGAGCAGAGCCTTATCTGTTTTAGTTTTTGGCTGATTCCCCACTGCCTAGAAGAGTCCCTGAATGATGCAGAAGACACTGTAGAGATCCATCTAACAGATGAGGACAGTCTCAGAGGGGCTAAGTGTCTGATCCTTAAATACAGTCCTTGAATCCATGGGGCTGTGACCCTTGCTGCTACTTCCTCCCACAGCATTGCATGTTCTTTTACATTCTGCTCTGGTGAAGACAGAAGGTAAAGAAGACTGTCAGGGGCAAGTCTTCTTTCACCTTCTTCCCCATTCCTCTGTGGCCTTCTGATAGCGAAGGAGCTCTGTCTTAGACAGAGACACCAAAAGTGCATGGTGACCTGGGGGAAGGTAACTGCATTGGAAGGGAGTTGCCTGTTCCCTCCTTTCAGTCACCATTAATTGAGCCCACTCCTTCTTGGAATGCTTTATATAGCTTTCACTTACTGGGTCTTCAATCTTCAATTCCAAATCTTGAAGAGAGCAAGAAGCCAAAAGTCCTTGCAGGATTTGACAAATAAATCAATGCTGATCTTTTCTTCAGCAAAGACTTTCTTGAAGGCAAAGGCTTTATCTTGCGATGTGAAGCTGATAGATAGTATGCAAGAGCATGGGGCCAGGACAGTAGGGGTCCAACTCCTGGTGAGAACCCCTTTGAGTCATCTTCCTTTCTTTTAGGTTCCCCTGCCTTGTATGTAAGATTCATGTCTGTCTTATAGCAGAGAATATGTTTGGTATATTCCAGAGGAGAGGGATTTCCAGTGTAGGAAAGGAGACCTGTTTATATGGGACTTGAAGGTTCATTTGAGAGTCCAGCTGGCCCAGGTTACAATGAGCTTCTGCCACTTACTTTCTGAGTGATCTTGACCTGGTAATCTTGTTTGTTTGAGTCTCAACTTTCCTAATATTTTAGTGCTATTTTACAGAATAGATAAGCTGATGCTGAAAACCAGTTAGGATAGTGTTTGTCTCTGATAAACTTAAAAGCATGGTAGCAGCTGTATATCAGGGAATCAAACTGAGATCCCCATGAAAAGGAGCAAGACCCTGATAGCCAGAAAAACTCAAGGGAACAACAGGCATCGCATTTCTTTGGGGGGGGGGGGACTTTATTGCTTTTCCCCCTACCATTTACTTCTAAAGTTTTTGAAGTAACTGACAGATCATCAAAACTGATAATGATTACTCTCCCTGTCTGCAAATTGGACTCTAGGTCCAGCTCTGCTACCAAGTTGAAGAGTGACTGTATCTTACTTATTCCACTTTATAGAACCTTAATGTCTAACTCCAAACTGGTCCCAGAGTAAAAAAATGTATCAAGCACCCATGTAAACACTCAATGCTTACAATCCTACATGGTGGTGCTTTTTTTTTTTTATCAGATTCATTTTTGGGTTTGCACCACACTCAATGTTGCTCAGGGGTTATTCCTGGCTCTACACTCAGGAATTACTCCTGTTGGTGCTTGGGAACCATATGGGATGTTGGGATTGAACCCAAATCAGCCACATGCAAGGCAAACAACCTATTGAATGCATTATCACTTTGGCCCCAGGCTCATTTTTATAAATGAAATATGGAGCTAAGCATCAGAGATCCCAGCAGACCCACAAGTAAGTCATGACCAGCCTTTTCCTGTTTCTCTCCAGGCTCTCTTGGTTTGGAACTTGCCCTTAGACTGGGTGTCTAGGGACAGTGCAGCAGCCCCCTGGGCTTGTTCTGCATATTCCTCTAATGCCAGGCTCAAGAGGCAGCCAGGGGAACTGTCTTCTTACCTCTTCATCTCAGGGTTCTTGATTTACAGCAGCAGAAACTCAGGGTGTGCCTCCCTTTCCGTTCCCCTAAACAGGAAGGTTTCTGTCATTCCTCTTCCCTGTATGACAGTTCCCTCCCTTCTCTCAGGGCCCAGCACCCTACACTCTGGGACATGGTGGATGGGAGATGTGGCACCTGGATTAAACCTCCAGGAAAGTGGTACCCACCCTCTGCCTGGGTGGGACCTGGCTGCTGTTTCCAGACTCTGTCTGAGGATGTCCTACTGGAGCTGCAGGCAACGAAGGCCATTTACTGTCTGATTTGTGAGGGACCTCCTTGTTCACCAACTCACCAACTGCCTGAAATTTTATTTGCTTGTTTGCTTGTTTTTGTTTTGGGGCCACACCCAGTGGTGCTCAGAGCTTACTTCAGACTCTGCATTCAGGGATCACTTCTGACATCTTTGTGGGGTGCAGGAGGTTGAACACAGCGACATCTATGTGCAAATCTAGTGCCTCACTCACTTTTCTATCTCTCCAGCCCCATCTGTTTGAAATTTGACCACAAAAGCCTGTTTCTGCTACTGTAAGGATTGACCCCCTTGCATTATGGGAAAGCATGAAGTGCACAGGAAAACACTGGCGCTCTGGGGCTCAAAAAGCCTGGGTTTCTGCCATGTCTGGGAGTATCATGGACTCACTGGATGATCTTGGACATTATTTCTTTTTCCCATCTTCTTTAAGCGTCAGACTTTTTCATCTGTGAAGTGAAGCAGTGCCTTGTACTGCTCACGTAAGGAGTAGCATGAAAAACCAGAGAGCATTCCATGTTACAGTAAATGGCAGCTGGCATTATTCCTATGTCCTGAATATGAGTGAGTCCCTCAGGATCACCCAGATAGGTGGCATGAAAATAATAGGAGACCAGTCGTCTTTGCTTCCTACTTCGCCTCTGAGTTTCTCTTCTGTTTGTTTGTTTTTGTTGTTTTTTTTGGGGGGGGGGCATACTCAGCCCTGCTCAAGGATTACTCCTGATTCTGCACTCAGGAATCACTCCTGCTGGTACTCAAGGTCCCATATGGGATGTAGGGGATGAAACCATGTTCGACTTCATGGAAACGCCTTAGCTGCTGCACTCTCTCTCCAGCCCCTCTGAGAATCTCTTTTCTCAGACCAGCCATCCCATCTTTTTACCTACTTCCTATCTTCTACACACTCTCTGCTCTAAAATAAACACAGTCAGAACTTCCCCATCTCTGTGCCTTTTCTCATGATCAGGAACATGTTCCATCCCAGTGATTCCCAAAGTACAGTCTCCAAATTATCAGCATCAGCATTACCAGAGAACTTGTTAGAAATGCAAATTCCCAGCCACCTCAGACCTGAGTCAGAAACTCTGGGGGTGGGGCCCAAAAATCTGTGCTTTAACAGATCTTCTGGGACATTTAGATGCAACTAAAGTTGGAGAACATATTAAAGCAACATCCGACTTGAACCTGAGTTTTCCCTGGGCCACTCACTGTCAGGGATCTTGGGCAACAACCTTAGCTTTTCTGAGCTTTAATTTTCTCAACTATAAAATAGGAATAGTGCCTACCGTAGTGAGCTATTGTAAAAATTAATGAAAAATGCCTGAAAATTGTGTAATACTATGGTCATTAAAGATTAACTGTTACTTTTATCTTATTTTAATTTTTATCTTATTTTGGGTGGTCACACCTGACAGTACTCAGGGCTTACTTCTGGCTTCATGCTCAGGGATCACTCCTAGCAGGACTGGGGCGGGCGGTGCATATGGAGTGCTAGGGACTGAACCCTGGTCAGCTGAGTGCAAGGCAAGTGCCCTACTCTTTTCTATCTCTCCAGTCCCCCGCTTTCATGGTCTTTTTTCTGCATGATGCCCCATTCCTATTCCTATTCCACTTCCTCTTTCCCATTTCTGAGTGATAAAACTTTAGTAGTGAGTGTTGCCAACTAAAACAATTTCCTTCTCTAAAAATCCATTCTGATCTCCTTTCTTTGGGTCCACGAGACATGGCTGTTGGATCAAATACCTTGGTTTATCAGCATAGTGCCCAAGTTCTGCCTTATACTTGCTCCTGGCTTCTGAGCCACTGCTTGGGTCCTCTGTAAAGAACTTGGTATGCAGTGTCATTACCAGATATGGGTTCTGCCTGTGGGCCTCCCAGCTCTGTCCCTCCATGGTCTCCCTCCCACTTGACGTGATCCCCATCTTTCCTTGCCTTTCATCGTCTGGGTGAGAACTTCCTGAACTTACGTGCTGGAAGTTTTATTCTTTGCATCATTCCCCCTCATTGTTAGATTCACCTTCATGAAAGAATTTATTGAATTCTCTGATGCCTTGGAAATTTAGGATTATAGTCTGCAAGTCATAGACAAAGAGGCAGAGGCCCCAGTGTCTACATGAGAGGTACAGAGCATCCACAGGGCAGTATTTTGTATTAAACCAAAGCAGTTAGTTCCAGAGTTGAGGTGGTTTCCACTGCCCAATGCTGTCCAATAGTGGGAAAAGAAGCAATTTCAAATTTTTATTTTTAAATTTTATTGATTCACCGGCTGGAGCGATAGCACAGCGGGTAGGGCGTTCGCCTTATAAGCGGCCAACATGGCCGACCGGAGTTCGATTCCTCCGCCCCTCTCGGAGAGCCCGGCAAGCTACCGAGAGTATCCGATATGCCAGACACAGTAACAACAAAGTCTCCAATGGAGACGTTACTGGGCCCGCTCGAGCAAATCGACGATCAACGGGAGGGCCTTTACCTTTACCTTTACCATTGATTCACCGTGAGATATAGTTACAAGCTTTCATGTTGAGTTACAATCACACAATGGTCGAACACCCATCCCTCCACCAGTGCACATTCCCCACCACCAGTATCCCCAGTATACCCCCACCTTTTCCACCCTCCCACTGCCTCCATGGCAGACAATATGCGATTTCAAATTTTCTAGGCTGGTAATTTTCTGAATTCTTGGGAATTCGTCTTAGGTTTCCCATGTATAGAGCTTTCTCTTGGACAGTCTAAGTTAGATTTTCTTTATTTGCTTTCCAGTTTTAGGTCTGTGAGGCTGCTAAAGAATGAACCTGTCAACTTTCAGAAGTTTCCTTATACTAATGAGGATGAGGCCTGGAAGACCTACTTGGAAAACCCTTTGACAGCTGCCACAAAGGCCATGATGAGAGTCAACGGGGATGATGACAGCGTTGCAGCCCTGAGCTTCCTCTATGATTACTACATGGTATATTCCCCACTTCAGGACATGGTCCCCTTTGAAAGAATGTATCTCTGCTTTCAGATCTCATGATTCAACAGCCCACCATGATCACCTTCAGTCCATCATCATGTACTTTCACACTTCTGGGCCTTTACACTTGCCCCTCGCTAAACTAGACTCTCAGCCTTGAGTATCAAGGTATTCTCTCATTCATTTAATGAGAGTAGGGCAAGGCTTTTCTGGGTCTCCTTTGCCTCCTCTGGGCACCATCAGCTTTCACCATCACCATCCTTGACTCTGCCCTTAGAGTTTCTCTATTTGTGCATTTCCCTATGAGACCAAACTTCTAAAGGGCAAGAACAATGTCACCATCAATTTCACTATGTCATTACTGTGTCATGAAGTACCCCATACTGACTGCCACACATTGCTCAATGTGAACTGATTGAAGGGGGCTTTGGCCTTTGGCCAAGCTCATGCCACAACAGTTCCCTCACCTGTCATCTTCTTTCCATTCCAATCCTTTTGGTCATCCTATCCTGCTGTTGTCGCCTATCTATTACAATCCCATCTCCTGGACCACATCTGCTGCCCCTGCCCCAGCCCCTTACTTCAGGCTTCTTTCCAAAGCCCACCAACTACATGATCTTTCCAAGTCCTGAGTGTCTAGTCTTCCCACCTTTCTGTCACTGTTTGCACTGCAATAGTGTTTCTCTAATTATTGTCAGAGCTTGGCCTTGACTATCAACTTTGGAGAACAGGATTTAGAGCCTCCCATGTCTGTTAAATGAGTGGGTTTAAACCAGTCATCACAGATGGTGCCTGGGCAACTATTGATAATGGAGTACAGCCAACATTCGCACTGAATATTTTCTAGCCCAGTACATCAGGCGGTCCCTACCCTCCTGCCTCAATTGTCACACGAAAGCAATATCTCTGGCTATCTGTGGCTCAGATAATATGGATATAGAGTCCAGGAGACTTTCTCATATTTAAAAATGGGGGAGGGAAATATGAAGAGTCTATTGTTAACATAATTGACTTAAATTCCCTTTATGAGCAAGCCCTCAAATTTACAAGTTCAACAAGCATTTTATCTATTCCAAGGAGGAAGGCCAACTCCTTGTATAAATTCAGAGGTCAAGTGAGGGAAGTGGTGCCATAGGAGAAGATTCTCCTCTTCCACCCAGTTCACTCTGGCTTTGGTTCTCATCCTGGCATGGTTGACCCTCTCTAGAAGAGATAGTGTTTGGCTCAAGCCAATGGTAAACAAATTTGAATTGGCTGCTTCAGCCTGGGAATATGGTAGGAGCCAGAACTTACAGCTTGAGGTTAAACCAAAAGATTAGATCCAACACCATCTCCTCTGGGTGAGAGGCTGTTCTCCTGGCCAGAATGGTAGGGCGGGGCTCTGAAGGTGACACCTGCGGTGGTTATAGTGAAATACACCCACTTGACTCTTCCCTTCCTTAACACTGTGGATTCAGAGCACCCTAGAGAGGGTTAGCATAGTTACATAGTTTAATGGAAAGAGCATCCAGTTGAGAGATTGAGACCTAGTCTGGCCACAAAGTGGCAATGTGTTTTTGGGAAATATAGTCCTAAAGATGCTTATTGTGCCTTCCTGAGTGCTGGGCACCTTGTCAGGCACCTTCCTGCATGCGTCCCCATGGGCTATGATGAAGAACCCAGGCACTGAGTTGGTGGGCTGGGTTGGAGACCCTGTCCTGGATTTTTTTTTAAAGGGGGAAGTAATTTAGACTCTCTAAATTGCAACAATATTGAAATCAAAATCATCTGCAGCAACATTTACATAGTGTTTTCCAGGGGCTGGTTTAAGTATTCACAATAATCCCTGGGGTTGTTATCACTATTATCAATCCCTCCTTTGCAGATGGGGACATTGAGGTCCAGGGAGGTTTAGGGATTTGCCCACGGTCACCCAGCCAAGAAGTGAGAGATCTAGTAATTAAACCCAAGAAATCTGGACTCAGGTCCTTAGTTCAAACCACTAAGACCACAGAGCCTTGGATTTCCATTTCCTTATCTCCACAACGGGAATAATGTTAGTAGACATTACAGAATGATACTGAGTTAGAGAACACAGGGAAGACCCTTTGTTAGGAGCTTTTGCCAAGAAGATACATTATAATAAAACAAAGCTCTCCTTAGTAATAAACATTTGTAGCTCAAACTAGGTGTTTAGACCCCCATTTGGTCTATGAAGATACAAAGTTTCAGAAAGATGATTTTTCTTTTTTGAAAAATAGAAAAGTTTATTGAAAAGTAGCAGGAAAAAAAAGGAGCTCCCCAAGTGGGAAGGTACTTAGTACAGGAATAAGTTCTCAGAAAGAAGATTTTTTTAATCAAAATTCCACAGCTCTATAACTAGAATTTAACCCAGACCTGTCTGACTCCAAATTTCACAATTCCTCATTGCTAATAATCTTGGGATTCTCCTTCGTACTCTTTCTTCACTTGGGTGCTGAGATTAAATAATGGCTAGAGCTCCTGCCAATTCAAAGACTGGTCATTTCTCTCAGGGACCCACATGGCTTATCCGGCTGGCCAAATCTGTGGGCAGGGACAAAAGCTCCTACCACCGCCAGCTCTGGCCCAAGAGCCACGCATGAAATCTTCCTTCTTCTCCCCAGGGCCCCAAGGAGAAGCGGATACTGTCCTCCAGCACAGGAGGCCGGAACGACCAAGGAAAGAGGTGAGCTGCCCTCTCCACCTCTCTGCCCTTTCTTCCTTTCCTCCTGTTCACCTTGAACCTCCCTAATCACTGGGCACAGGATACTTTTAGGGGTCAATGAAAGTATTTCAATATCTTTTTTTCTTTTTTGATGTTACCTATGACTGTATTAATTTAATTTTATTTTTTAATTGAATCACTGAGATAAACCCTTATAAACCCTTTCCTGATTAGGTTTCAGTCATATAGTGTTCCAATACCCATTCCTCCACTAGTGTACATTTCCCAGCACCAGGGTCCCCACGTTCCCTCCCATCACTCCCCATATTCTAATATCTTTTAAAAATCACAAGAAAAATCAGCATAATCTAGCTTAGATTATATTTGTTATAAGTTATTTTTTAATGTATTTTATGGAGTAGAGGTCCTCATATATCAACTAGAACCTTTAAAATCATCATCATCACACACACACACACACACACACACACACACACACACATCAGCTACATGCAGGATTGTTGTTTCCTGCAAATAAACCTCAAAATCACAGCAGTGGCAAAGCCCTGGAGGCAGCTTTCCTGTCCCAGCTCCAAAGCCCTCCTCCTTGGCTGCTCATAGGGACAGAGTCCTGGGCCTGAGGCTGTTCCACCTAGAACCCTGGCTACTTTCCCTAACTCCTTTGGGCCTCTGCCTAGTATTCACGCCTCTGGATGCTGATGTTTCTTCTCTTGTGAAAGCAGCCCTGGCCATGAACGTGACACACAAGTTCTTAAAGGACCATCTCGTCTTCCTCCATCTCCTCCTTTCCTGCCACTGGGTAGGGCCTGGGAGCTTTCTGAGATCCTCTCTGCCCTTGGAAAAATCCAAACCAAGGCAAGATTAAGACAAAATGCCAGCAGAAGCAGGCACTGACATGCTTGCAGCTCTCTTGAGCTTTCTCCAGGCTTTGGTATGGGACCTTTCTCAAAACTTTGCAGAAACCCTAGGTTTAATCCATGCACTATAGAGGTTCTCATGCTCCTCTCAGAATGACCATAAGCACTGCACAGCAGATAGCCTCCCCGAAAATTATATCAACTACTTGCAGACATACTCCCTTGGTCTCTATAATTTAGCTGTTTATATTTGACATTTGACCCTGGCTAAGACATATACATATTTTAAATGGTCAAGTACTGTCACGGGTAATGCGTCAACCCTGGGCCCGAGTTTGGTCATTGCTGACACCTTCCCTGCTCCTCCCTGTGGCACTTTGGCTGGCTGTGTTTCTTGCTCATGAACTGGAAGGCCCTGCCATGGCATGGGATGAAAGGTCAGCGTGTTGGTATGAAGATCAGAGAGGAGACCCACTGCCTCACCTCTCTCCAGGTACTACCACGGCATGGACTATGAGATGGACCTCTCCCCCCTTGAAAGTCCCACACATCTCATGAAATTCCTGACAGAGAACGTGTCAGCCACCCCAGAATACCCAGATGTGCTCAAGAAGAATAACTTGATGAGCTTGGAGGGGACTGTGCCCTCTCAGGGCAAGGTGGCCCCCCTCCCACCGGGTACCAGCAAGTTGGAAGCTGGCTCCGTGGACAGCTACCTTCTGCCCACCAGTGACATGTATGACAATGGCTCCCTCAACTCCTTGTTTGAGAGCATTCATGGAGTGCCGCCCACTCAGCGCTGGCAGCCAGACAGCACCTTCAAAGATGACGCACAGGAGGTGAGACCCGTCCCCCACAGCTCCCGCGCGTCTCTGGGTACGTGAGAGCGTGTGCAGGAGGAGAGAGGATGTGAAGAGGTCATGGCCTGGGGGATCTGTGAGAGAAAGGCCTAAACCAAGCAGGGCTGCCACATTGCAGCTGTGCAGGTCAGGCTGGGTGCAGTCTGGACCGTGGAGCCTGCAGCTAAGGCCAGAGCTGCCTGGGCATGGCCCTTCATTTTCTCTGAATTGTGTTTCTCTGCAGTCACTACTCTTCCCAGATATCCTGAAAGCATCTCCGGAACCCCCATGCCCAGAGGACTATCCCAGCCCCAAGAGGTAACTCAAGCCCTGTGGCCCCAGGGAGTGGTACAGAACTGATTAAGGACAGACACTGCCAGTGAACCTGGGGAGACAAAGTGGATAAACGGGGTGGTTTGGGACTCTTTTATAATAAGAGAAGGAAACTAGTTCTTTATTTACTTTTATTTATTATTTGGGGTCATATCTGGAGGTGCTCGGGGATTACTCCTAGTTCAGTGCTTGCAGGACTATGCAGTACTGGGTATTGAGCCTGAAGCTCCTGAAGGTAAAAAACCTGTGCTCAGCCCATTGAGTTCTCTCCCTGACCTTGAAAGGAGGGATTTTTGTATCCCCTCCCTGGGCTGTGATGGAGCTGTAGTACAGTGGGTAAGGCACTTGCCTTGCACACAGCCCACCTGGGTTCAATCCCCAGCACCCCATATGGTCACCCGAGCACCGCCAGGAGTAATTCCTGCATGAGAGCCAAGATTAAACCCTGAGCATTGCCAGATATGGCCCCAAAATAAAACGAAAGTGATTTTCAATCGTCCTCAGTCCCTCACCTACAGTGGCTTTGTCACCCTTTGAGGGTCACTCTGGTTTCTGTTATTCAGCATAATTGTGGTGCAACAAAGTCATTAAGCAGAAATCCCCAAAGCAGAGACCCAGAGAAGTTGAGTGATTTTCACCCAGCAAGGCTCTCTCTTGCTCCACCAAGATACTCCTGTTGGGGATCCCAGCTTCACTGTCCTCTCCCTCCTCCCTGCAGTGATTTTGAGTATACCTTGGGCTCCCCCAAAGCCATCCACATCAAATCTGGCGAGTCGCCCATGGCTTACCTCAACAAGGGCCAATTCTACCCCGTCACCCTGCGCACCCCAGCAGGCGGCAAAGGCCTTGCCTTATCCTCCAATAAAGTCAAGGTGCGTTGGGCCTGGAGCAGATGGGCAGGGGGGTGGAATGAGCAGGACTGCCCCACACGTCGGGGCCCCTGGGATGGGGTGCTGTTAGAAGCTTCCCATTGCTGGAACGGGGGTAAATGAGACTGAAGGGTAGCACTCTGGACCCAGAGTCTGGGAAAGGATTGGGACTGTGTAGGTGTCTCCGGAGGCTGGGGTCACAGTGGTCACTGTGCTTACAGAGTGTGGTGATGGTTGTCTTCGACAATGAGAAGGTCCCTATAGAGCAGCTGCGTTTCTGGAAGCATTGGCATTCCCGGCAACCCACTGCCAAGCAGCGGGTCATTGATGTGGGTAAGAATCTCCCTAAGTTTCTGTCCAGTTCTCCCTCTCTCTTCTCTCTTCCACACACACAGAGACACAGACACAGACACACACACACACACACACACACACACACACACACACACACACAGAGGCCTTCCTTGCTATAGGTTCTTCCTCCCCAGCTCCTGCCTCCAGGTCAGATACTGTGGTCTCTTTTCTATATTATTTTGGGCCCAAGGAACCCCAGTCATGTCAGATAAATAGGCCCCTGGATGCTGATTGCTTATCCCCTCAGATGCCAGGATGAGTGAGACAGATATCTGCGTAACCAGTGTAGACAGTTTGTGATTCAGAAGACAGAACTCTGTGCCAGGGCCTTTCCTCTTTGGGACCTGGAACCCTCGGGGTCTTTAAACAGTGGGGATGGGGATGGCCTTGGTGTGTGTTGTCTTCTCGAGCCCAGCCCTCAGACAGGTTGGCGTGTCCTTGGGGATGCAGGTCCTGGCTCTGTCATTTTCTTCCTGACTGTGATCCCCATTACTTCTGCTACCTGAGTGCCAGATACAGGGCACGGTACCTTTCTCTTTGAGTCTCAGTTTTTTCCATCATTGGTTGAACTGAGGTCAGCTCCCCTGCCTGTCCACAGTGCCTGGAGAACTTTACCAATAGGGGCATTAAGTGACTTCTCTAAGCAAAGTGATTCAGAGCATGGGTATAGGAGCTCAGTTCTTGCTCTGCCTTTTAATTAACTGTGTTTCTCTGGGAAATGACCAAACTTCTCTGAATGGGGGTAAATGAGACTTCTTCATTTCTTCATGTGTATGCTGAATACTTAGTGTCAGTGGGAGGACAAGCCATGGGTTTACTGTATTGTATAGTTTCAGTGCATGGTGATAATACTACCATTTATTCCACATTAATTTATTCTGTAGCACTGTAACACTGTCCTCCCATTGTTCATCGATTTGCTCGAGCGGGCCCAGTAATGTCTCCATCATGAGATTTGTTGTTACTGTGTTTGGCATATCAAATATATCACGGTTAGCTTACCAGGCTTTGCAGTGCAGGCAAGATACTCTCGGTAGCTTGCCAGGCTCTCCGAAGGGGCGGAGGAATCGAACCCAGGTCAGCCGGGCCAGTTGCATGCAAGGCAAACACCCTACCGCTATGCTATCACTCCAGCCCTATTAACATAGTTCAACATTTATTCCATATAATTTAATATTAGTTAAATAGCTCAATATCAGTAGTACTTTCATTACTGCCACAGTTACTGCTGTGGTTATTATGAGTGTTGCTTTAACTGGGAGAGGTTTTAAATACCCATCTCAATGAAGGTTGTAACTTCCACACCAGAAAGCTGAGAGCCCAGGCCTGGATCCCATATCTAGAGATTCCTTCTGGGTGTTGGGAAAATTTATAGCTCAGACTGGTCCCCAGACCCCGCGCCCCACCTTGCACCCCTCCCCCCTTCCCGCAATCAGGGCATAATAAGCAACTTTCTCTTTGGACTGAAGTGTGATTCTCTAAGAGGGTGCAACTCCCTGCCAAGAGTGAGGCCCTGCTCTAAATGTGTCCCCGCACAGTATTGTAGCTTCTTCCCTCCTGACTCTCCTGATCTGTGGTTTCAGCGGATTGCAAAGAGAACTTCAACACAGTACAGCACATCGAGGAGGTGGCCTACAACGCGCTGTCCTTCGTGTGGAATGTCCACGAGGAGGCCAAGGTCAGTGCTGGGGTATGGCTGGCATAGGGCTGGGCCACCTCAAGGTCCCCCAGCCTGAGAACAAGGCTTGTCTGCACTAGACCCAGGGCCTCTCCTTTGGTGATGTCCCCAGTGCCAGATACAGGGCACGGTACCGGGGAGAAGCAAACTCCAAAGCTGATGGCTGAACCCGCTCCCAGCTCTGACCCCAGACCAGTATCTCAGTCCTTCTGAACCTCACTTTTCTGGACTGTAAAACTGGGGTATAGCCTGGGGTCAGAGAGCTGAGCTCAATGGGATGTGGGAGACTCAAATTCCATGCCTGTCCTACGTAGTCCTCTAAGTATCCCGAGCAAACCCCAAGCACAGAAAAGTGAATAGACCCTGAACATTGCCTAGTGTTACCCCAACATCACAAAATAAAAAATTAGGGTAGAACCATAGCATCGATGTATAGGTTTTGTTTGTGGGGGGGCATACCTGGTGGTGTTCAAGGCCTATTCCTGGCAAGACTGAGGCAACCATATGGGATAGAACTGGATAGACAGCTGTATTGTCTCTCCAGCCTCCCAATTGATAGGCTCCTGTGAGGATCAGGTTAAAGGCTGAGCTCAGTTTGGCACATAGGTGCCAATGGCTATTCATTCCTGTTTCTGGGGGGGATCTTGAGCCTATGCCAGGCCCATGTGATGCCACAACAAGACATGCTTCGGAGTTTGATATTTGAAGGTTAAAATCCAACCACCTTGTGCCTGAGCCCCTAGAAAGGGAACAACTACCTGCTGCTGAGGGTTGTGGTGAAGATCACACGAGATTACGCATGTCTGAGAGACGGGCGCAGTGCCAGGCCTGTCAGGAAGGTTTGAGATCTGGAGCCTCTGGTGGCTTCTTTCAGACCAGTGACTAAGCCCGTTAAGACTCTAAACTGAGCCTCCAAGCCTTCATGCTCGAGGCCAGTCTTGAACTTCCACTTCTGGGTTTCTGTGTCTTGACTTTTCTGGCATTGTGAGAGGGGCTCTTGCGGAGCGTCTGGGTCAAGCTTGTCCTGTCAGAACAAGGTTGAGTCCATGTCTCAAGGGCATTTCCGGTCTAGCCAGGCTGGGCAGCTCGTTCCCATCTCCCTGCCCGCCTCTGGGGGTGGTCCAAGCTACCTGGTGAAAATAGAGGTGAAGGGGCCTGAAAATACAAAGGCGAGAAATTATTATTATTATTATTGAAACAGACGCCAGGGGCTGGAGGAGGAGCAGGGTCTGGGGGGCCTCCGGCTCAGGGAGGTGGGTAAGGAGTTTCGTGGGAAGGGAGAGGTGGGTTTCGGTTAGAATTTTCTCACAGTCACTTAAGCCCCCAGGCTTGGAACTTTCTCAGAAGTGAACTGGGTGGGGGCTGTGTTAAGGCTGAGCTGGCTGAGGGGGAGGTATGTCTGGCATGTGCCCAGGGGCTGGCCCCCACAGCCGCCAGGGGAAGAAGAGGGGGTGCTCAGGTACCATACCCCTCCCCCGCTGATCAGGTCAGGGTCATTCATTTCCAAGGGAAATGACACAAAGAACAGCTGGAGTGGGTGGAACCCTGGAAGGCCTGGAGGGGCTCAGCAGATTGACAGTGACCTAGGGAGCTTGGAAGAGATGGTCAGTGGAGACTCAGTCCAGTGCCACCAGCTGAGGCTCCAGCTGCCCCTCTCATCCCAGCCTTGCCAGGCCCCTGCAGTGCTCAGTGCCCTACACAGCCATGCAGCTTGATTCTGTTTTGCACATCAGGAAATAGAGGTTTCGTGAGGCTAAGGGTCTTACATGGTTAGCGAGTGGAAGGACCCAGCTCCCGCCTTAAGTCTGGTCTCTCCACCCCAGGCTTCTTCCACACACTGCACCCTGCCTGACTCCTTGTTGAACATTAGGAAGTCACATCCTTGTGCAGAGCCCTATTTCCTCAGCTGTAAAATGGGGGTGGCCCGTGCAGTGGAGACTGGTGGAGCTCTTGGTTGGGGGTAAAGAGGGATGGTGTCTCACCCTTGGTGGTCTCTAACCCTGGAGTTTGGATGAGTTGGGGATTTGGCGCTGCACTCCCTACCCCACTGATCTGCAGGGAAATGAGGCAGGGATTTGACCCCCTGTGGTCCTTCCTCCTTCCTGGGTCTTGTTCCAAAGAACTGCCCTCAGCGAGCCAGTGGCGGGACAAGACTGGGGTGTTAGGGGGAAGTTCTGTCACCCAGTGATGGAGAATCTGGGTCCCAACTGGGTCCCACCTAGCCCTGCCGCTTCACATGGCTGACTTCAGTGTGTCGTGAGTTAGGGGTGCCCCCGGGCTTGCAGCAGGAACAGTGAATGGGGTGCTGGGGAGAGCAAGGCCGGTGGCTGTTCAGCCTGTTTCTCCAGCTTCTCCTCCATCTGCAGGTGTTTATCGGTGTCAACTGCCTCAGCACAGACTTCTCCTCACAGAAGGGGGTGAAGGGCGTCCCCCTCAACCTACAGATTGATACCTATGACTGTGGCTCAGGCACCGAGCGCCTGGTGCACCGTGCCGTCTGCCAGATCAAGATCTTTTGTGACAAGGTGGCTGGGGTCAGGCCCTCTGCTGGTTCTTGGGAGGGGGAGGGCCTGCACCCCAGAACCCAACCCATGGGGGTCCCTTAGCCACTACCTGTTCCTTGCTCTCGCCAGCCTCTTTCCTCTTAGAGCTAGCCTCTCTGTGCTTTTCTGCCTTTCTCATCACTTATCTCTGATCAGCTCATTTTAGGGCTTATCAATCTCCATCTCTCATTTTTCTCCATGTCCATCCTTAACACCTTTTTCTTTCTCTGCTCTCCCTGATTCTGTCTCTTCTCTTCTCTCTTCTTCCCCTTACCACTCTTCCCCATCTTTCCATCTCAGTTGCTTTCTTAGTCTTTCTCTCCCTCTTGGCATATTCTGATCTAAGGGCTGGGTGGGCTGGACAGACCCTGCTCCCCTCCCATTCCCTGGTCCCCTTTGGAAATGAAGCACAAACTAATATGAAAAGCAGGCAGACCTTCCTAGAACCCGGGTTAACCCCTTTGCCTTCTCTCTTATAGGGAGCTGAGAGGAAGATGCGGGATGATGAGCGGAAGCAATTCCGGAGGAAGGTCAAGTGCCCAGATTCCAGCAGCAGTGGTTAGTGGGGATAGTCCAGGGACTAGACTGGGTGGCATAAAGGGGAGGAGATGAGGACAGAGGTGAAGGGCATGGACGGAGGTACTCGGGACACAAAGCCTCCCTGTTCCCAACAGGCATCAAGGGCTGCCTGCTGTCGGGCTTCAGGGGCAATGAGACCACCTACCTGCGGCCTGAAGCTGACCTAGAGACCCCACCTGTGTTGTTCATCCCCAATGTGCATTTCTCCAGCTTGCAGCGACCTGGAGGGGTGAGTGCTCTGGGATGAAGGAGGGTCTTGGCCTGTGGGTGGCACATTCCTTAGCACAAACCGACAGGGAGCAACCCAACCAATACAAGCAATTTAGATGCTTAGAGACCAGACACTTACATAACTGGATGGGGGAAAAAAAAAACGCTTATAAATCCCAGGGATTTTAAGGTACATGTAGTCATTCTCCAGTGCCTTTTCCCCAAAGAGTATTAATGAGAAAGTGAACTCAGAACTATGGAAATGTTCATCCTTGGAGCATACGCACGCACGCGCGCGCACACACACACACACACACACACACACACACACGCCCACATGCACACTCACACATGCCAGGTATCGGATATCTGAGCCCCAGATTTGATCACTGGGAGTACCCCACGTTGGTGCCAGGCTGCTGTGATGACTTTCCATGCATTATTACTCTAGTTCTCTCTCCTTCAGAAATGGAAAATATTCTCCTTGGTTTTGGGGTGGGCCTTGAGTCCCTGAGACCTCAACAAAGTCCACAGAAAGTGGCAAAGTCTAGATCTGGACCCAGCCACTGACTCCACAAACAATGTGCTCTGAGTTTCGAGCTGTTTCCGGAGCTCCTGAGAGGCACTTGGGCTTCAGGGACTTCGGGTCCCCCTTCTCACCAGCCTGGAGGGTAGAGACCTTTCCAGACAAGGTCATACATACCAGTGGCCTACACAGGACCCCGACATCTTTCTGCTGTCTGCTAGTGGCATTCATGCTGATCAGCTGGGGTGTTTCCTACCATAGTTCCCTGCATCCCCAGTCTAGGGGGACTGGCCCTTCACAGACAAGATGTCTAGGGGGCTGACTCGGAACAGGGCCAGTCTGGGAGTGGCACAGGCTCCCTGTATGTAAGGCATCAGTTTATGACACACACGTGATGCACGTGTATGGTGCACAGCAAAACCCCGCATCCTTCCTTCAGTCACCGCCCCCCCATGCTGTGGCCCCCATAGGTACTCTCTCCCCAGGTGAAGGTCCTATATGGAGATGAAACAGGGAACTGAGTCCCTGTGGCCAGGTTGACAGCTGATTTGTGGGTTTGGGGCACAGACAAGTGCATGCACATGTGACCCTGAGACAGGACCCCCGGCAAGTGAAGAACACAGAGCCTGGGTCAGAACCCCAACTCCGCGTCTAGCTAGATGTCTTCTATTTGGGGGGCACTCTGTCCACTCTGGCTCTCACTGACTCACCTCAAGGATGGATAGAGGATAAACGTAACAGTCCAGACTCCCAGGAGAGGCCCACGGTGGTGCCAGTTTCCCCTCCTGCTTCTGCCTTAGCGCTAACTACCCTGTCACCAGTCTTTGGGTGTGCTGGGGTGGAGGGGTCCTGGCAAACTCTGCCACCATTTCTAGAGCCCTTTGTTGTGCTTTCTAGCCCAGACTGGGCAGGGTGCTTCCTTTCACATCAGGATCTTAGCCCACTCCAGGTCCCACCCTGCTCAGCAGGGACTGAAAAGTTACTGAAGCAGCAATCCCCTCCCCCGCCCCAAAGCCTCCCCCTCCCAGGAACCTTGGGGTCTCCTCCTATCCCCCCACCCCCACCCCCGCATATGTGTGATGGAAAGTATCTCTTCTCTTCACCCTAGGTGGTGCCCTCAGCAGGACCGGGCAGCTCCAACAGGTAAGGGGACAAAATGCCAGGGGTCTCCTTTCTGGCTGATGCATCCCCACACCCTTTACCCCACACAGCCAGCCACACTGGGTGAGGGGAAAGGAGTCTCTGCCTGTGGCCTCCCAGTCACATTCCTGCTCCCTTCTCACTGAAACTGCCCTGGTTTTTATGGGTTGGTTTTATGTGAAAAGTTGGTGAATCTCTGGCGAGACACCTGCTTGTAAAAGGGGGAAGTCTCTGAGATGGAGCTGCAGATTGGAGTGAGGAGGGAAGCCAGGCTGCAGGAAGGAGGTATCAGAGGCCCAACACACCCACCAGAACCCCCTGACCTGGGGGCTGGTGCCCCTTGGCCCTGTGGCCTAGAACAGCCCCCAGACCCTGCCTCAGCCTAGGGTGGATCTGTCAGAGGAGGCAGTGGTCTGGCAGGGGTGAGGCCCATGTGCCAGTGGGAGAGTGCCATGGGTAAAGACAGTTCTCTGGCAGTGCTTTCACTCCCAGGATGTCATTTGCCACCTGGAAGCAGCCCCCCAGGAGTCAGCCACTCAGGGGCCTTCAGTCCCTCTGCTTTGTCATGAGGAAGTGGAGGCTCAGCAAAGTGAAGGGACTTGCAGAAGGTCACGCAGCTAGAGGTGGCTGGGACCTAAGTCAGTCCGCTCTGAGTCTCTCCCCTTCCTCCTGCAACCACCTCCTACCCAGCCCGATGCTTTCCAGAACAAGCAGTGTGGCACCACTGTGTGACATGCCCTGTTCCAAGAGCAGACAGAATGTCAGCATGTGGTGCAATCGCACAGCACTGTGGTGTTAGGGTGTGTGTGTGTGTGTGTGTGTGTGTGTGTTTTAGGGTCTTTACTCCCCGCCACCCCCATCCCGCCATCCCCATATGCACACAGAAACTAATATACTCAGCCCCAAGCACCCAGCTAGGGAGGGCAGTGCTGGGGCTTGAAATCAGCCCTCTGGGCTTTGTTCAGGAGACCCCTGGAGACTCAGCAGGGTCCTTCCATTTCCAGGATCCCCCATTCCTCACGATCTCCTCCCTACTGTCCCCACAGGCTGCCCCTGAAGCGCACCTGCTCCCCATTTGCTGAGGAGTTCGAGCCTCTGCCCTCCAAACAGGCCAAAGAAGATGATCTCCAGAGAGGTAAAGACCCCAGCCTAGGTGTTGTCTGAGCCCACCAGCCCCAGGGCATCCTGGGTCAAGGCCAGGACTGGAGGGTCAGAGTGGGTGAGAAGGGCAAGGCGGGAGTGGGGGTAGGGAGTTGGAGAGAAAGACCAGAGGGCTTTGCCTCCTTTCTCCTTGTCCTAGGTGAACTGGGCAGCTCATTTGATTGGGCAAGGACCCCACTTTCTCCAGTGAGTGTGGGAGCAGAGTAGTTTCCGTGCTTGGCTTTATAGCACTGACACTCTGCTACTTCCGGGAGAGAGGAATATGCCCCAAACTCAGGAGGCCATAGCTGCCCAGAACGAGAAATCAATCAGCAGCCCAGCCCCAAAGCCTTGAGTTTAGCATCACGCTGTACTGGCTGTTTGCAGATGCCACGGCATTAATCCCCGCCACCGTGCCAAAGGGGTGGGGAGAACACCTCCACGCTCTATGTGAGAAAGTGGGGTCCCCAGTGTGAAAGACCTTCCAGGTCAGCACAAGCCCCTGTGCAGTGCAGCACGGGGCCAGCGGGTGGGTTTCTAGATACAGACCCCAGCAAGGACGCGCCCCTTTTGCAGAACTGTTGTAGGTTAAAAACATTTTAAAGAGCGATGTGTGCCTTGAGGTATTCCCAGGCTCAGAATCTTCCCGTGGCCCCTAAAAACTACCCCCTTTACTTCTCAGTTCTATTATACGTGAGGAGGGAGACTGAGGAGGTCTTTGATGCCCTTATGTTGAAGACTCCGGACCTCAAGGGCCTGAGAAATGCGGTAAGAGGCCCCCACCCACACCCACCCCCCGCCCAACTGCCCCACCCTGGGCTCCCTTGGTGCTACCTTTCACCCCACTCCTCAACAGTCAGACCTGAGTTCCCACAGGAAGGCCCTGAGAAGGAATATGCCAGAACCTTAGCTCTCTGAGGCCCACCTGTCCCACCCACCTGGGGGAGCCCTGCAGTCGGCTGGTGGGGGCGTGCCTCTGTGATGTTATCTCCCAGCCAGATCCTGGGCTCCGCCCTGGGAGTCACACACACCATAAATCCTCCTTAATCTGATGGCTGCAGTCTGACAGGCCCAGCTTTTTGTTGGCTTTGCAAACCTGTTTCTGTTTTAATGGGAATGAAACCCAAAAAGGCCAGGCCCCAGAGACAATCTTTTTTTTTCTCTCCCAAGGGGCCTCATTCCTCCAGCCCACGGTTGACAAGGGCGGGAGTAGTGATGGGGCGGGGGAGCGGGGTGCGGGGGGTGGGGTGGGAATTGAGGGGGTAGGGAGGGAAACAGGGTATTATAAGGAGATCTTTTCTGTACCCCACACCATCAGGGAGCAGGTGAAGCAGCCCTGAACAGACTGAATAGACCCCACAGTAGCTTTGAGACCTGGGTGAAAACAGCAAATAGCCTTCACCAGGGACATCTGTGCTGAGATGGCCAGCTAAGAGGGGAAATAATCAAATATTCATATTTGTCCCACTGGAGCTGCACCTCCATTCTCTGCTCTCTGCTGCTCCTGTCCGTTCCCTTCCCTTCTTCATCTTCTCACCAGCCCCGCTTGGCACTGGCCCCAGGAAGCTGGCAACCAAAGGCCATTAATGTCACTCAACGTAGATTCCAAATTTGAGGTTGGACAGATCCTTAAAGGGTCCGTCGCCTGTCAGGTGCTTGAGCTTTTCCCCCAACTGGCCTTCCACATGGGTGCCCCTCCTGTGTCCTTCCTGGGAGAGGAGTGCTCACTGCCTGGCAGGCAGCCTTTGCCATCCACCCTGAGTTCCCCTTCAGATTCCTAAGGGAGCTGCCAGCAATGGGGCTCTGAAAGTAAATAGTTTGAGACCTTCTCTTGCGGGGAGGGATCTCTGGATGCAGAAAAATCATTGAGGAGCTCAACTTGATGCTCCTAAGAGCCTATGGTGGCCGAGCTGCATCAGAAGGTGGATTCCCGGGTCTGGAGCGGTAGCACAGCGGGTAGGGCGTTTGCCTTGCATGCAGCCAACATGGCTGACCCAGGTTTGATTCCCAGCATCCCATATGGTTTCCTGAGCACCGTCAGGAGTAATTCCTGAGTGCATGAGCCAGGAGCATCGCCGGGTGTGACCCAAAAAGCAAAAAAGAAGAAGGTGGATTCCCAACTAGCAGCCTGGGTTGAGCTCTTGATAGAGTGCCAGCTTCTAGCTGGTCCTTTAATGACAGAACCCCATGTGTTCAAATTCCATTATTACGCCCACTGTATGGATAGGGAAACTGAAGCTTTCAGGAGGAAGTAACTTGTGCAGAGTTCTGCAACTCCAGGCAGTGGTGCTCTACTGAACTAGATTGGTCTGCCCTGGAGGAAACTTTAGAAAGCCTGGGGCAAGTGGATGAATAAAACCTAGGCACTTTTTGGCTTCTCAGCGGTATATTCCCCATCAGTAGAATAAGCACTGATGTCTGAGGTGAGAAGGCAGAAAACCTGGTTCTAGGCTAGGCCTGGGGCACCTGCCTTATCTTTGAGTTTCAGATCCTCACTCAGTCACACTGACCATCTTTGCAGGATGCAGTGGCAGGAAGTATCCTCAATGGGCTAATCCCTTCATTCTTCAACAACCCTGTGAGGTGGGCACACCATTGTCTCCACAAGTAATCTGCACAAAGTGGGCCTGCTGGTGAATGAGGGTCCTCAACCTTGGAACAAGCTGCAGCAAATGACTGACTATGGTCCAGGGTTAGGGAAAGTCTGGTGCTCTTGGGTTTATTTTATGGCCACTAACCATGCTGTTCAGTAAGAGTTTGTTGTGATAAGGGAAGATTTTCAACGTATGACTATGAGATTTTAAGTTGTGTTTAAATGTTTAAATTATCTATATGAAATGTTGAAAATCAGGGTCTAGATGGGAGAGAATACACCCAGATATTATTAGTAGTCATCTCCAGGAAACAGGATGGTAGTTGATTCTAAAGTTTTATGGGTTTTCTTTTTGCACTTTTTTTTACAGTGTGAACATATTTTTATAATCAGGAAATAAATAGGGTATAAAAAACTGTTTTTTTAATCCAGGTTGGGCAGCAGACAGTGAATGCCTTCCCATTTTCTTTCAGATCTCTGAGAAGTATGGCTTCCCGGAAGAGAACATATACAGGGTCTATAAGAGATGCAAGCGGGGGTAAGTGCCCGGTAGCTCCGCCGCACCCCCATTTCCTGTCTACTTGGCTGTTGGCTCAGGGAATGCCTACAGGTTCCACTAGACCTGTGAACAGGGGTGAGCCCTGTTTACAGGTTCCACTAGACCTGTGAACAGGGGTGAGCCCTGTTTGCTTTTGGTAACTAGAGAGGTCCCAGACCAGCTAAGGCCAACTGCAGAGACCAGACCTTGATCACTGTGAAAAGAATCCAAGAAGGGAGGGGAGAGAGGAATTGCAGCCACAGCTGAGTCAGAATTCCTGGGATCAAGTCCTTAGGGCCCTTGGCTGATCGAGTCCTTTGATTCCAACTGTGGTGAGAGTGACGACCTTCTTACAGTCACCTGCTCTGTGTCTCTCCACCAAACTGAGCACAAACCACACCAGGAGGTAGACATCCTTACCTACATCTTAAAGACGTGGGCAGCTGAAGCTCAGAGGTGTTAGCTAGGTGAAGTGGAGTAAAGAAACCAGGGCAATAGTACAGCAGGTAAGGAGCTTGCCATGCATGCGGCTGACCTGGGTGTGATCCCAGCACAGCGTAGCATCCCCCACGCCCTGCCAGGAATGATCCCTGAGTGCAGAGTCAGAAGTAATCTACTTGGCACTGAGCACTGCCAAGTATGATGTCAAAAAAAAAAAAGAAAAAGAAAAAGAAAAAAGAAACAAAAGCAGAAGGACCCAGCACTGTTGCTACTGGCAGAGTTAGGGGGTCCAGGAAGGGAAGGCCTGGTGGTGAATATGGAAAATGAATTAGGAGTGGATGTGGCTTGCAGGAACCCTCTATGGGGTTCTGTAGGGCTCTTCCCCTACAGAGGGATGTGGGTGATGGATGAACTGGGGAATGAGTCCTGTCCAATGTCAGCTGCCCAGCGTGGGCTCTGGGCTAAGCATGCAGTAGCCTTTGCTGTGGGACCAGGGCAGGTGTGGGGGGTGGTGATAGAGGGAGGTCCCTGGTGAAATCCCTGCCAGGCTTTAGTGCCCTGCCAGTTTCTGAAGAGAGACTTGGCACCCCCCTCCCCCCGCCCTGTGCGCGCGCACACACACACACACACACACACACACACACACACACACCACCACCACCACCACCACCACCACCACCACCACCAAGTAGGTCACTTGACCAATCCAGCTAGGTCCCAGCAGTGAGGAACTGTCACTGTCTCTGGTGCCTCACCCCTTGGAGGACCTCAAACAGACTCAGGGCCCCTCTGCCCACAACTCCTCCTGCTCCCGGCCTTCAACTGGAGCTGGACTGTGAGCCCATCAACTCACTGGCCCTCCGGTGCTCAGGCACTGCCCCCTGCCTCAGCGGCAAGGCTCTGTCGGGTGAGGCAGGTTTGCTGCTGGGCGAGGCTTGGGGGCAGCCTCCTTCCTAGCAGGCCCAGCCCTGCCTCCCTCCTCGCTGGTTCTCATCCAGCCTCCCAGAGCAGGGTGGGGTGGAGGGAAGGTGTCCCTGCCCCGCAGCCCCTGGGAAAGAATCCATTTGGTTTTGGTTGTATGAGTGTCTAGGGTTTTGTGTGTGTGTGTTTTTTCTTCCAAGTTTCGGTTTCAAACTGGAAACTCACACGCTGTCTTGGAGCAGAATCTACCTCATAGCGGAGAGCAGGCTCCGCTCTGCCCAGACAAGTCCAGCTCCACTTCCCCATTGTGCCAGTGCCCGCAGCCCCTGGCTGCAGCCTTACCTGCAGCTGGCCCCGTGGACTGGGTTGAGGAGCCCGGAAGTGCCTTTGTGCACAATGAGGGGTGGGAGGTATGCACCGGAACACCCACCTCCCCACCCCCTGACTGAGTTGTGAGAGTTTTCTTTAAGCCCCAGCCAGCCGCTGAGACATAATTACAATGACTTGCATTTGCGGATACCTGCCTGCATGCCAGGAGCTGGGTTCCAGCACCCAGGTACCACCTCACTGCCCTTCCGAGTTTATGACCAATGATCTTGATTCCTGCGGGTGGGGACGCTGAGGTTCAGAGCAGTCAGATCACAGTGGTAGTAACTGGCAGGAGGAACCCTGCCCTGTCTAAAGCCTGGCACGCACACGCACCTATTGTTTTCTCTTGCCTCTTGCTTGCTCCTCAAACCGCTAAGCAATGTGCAAATAAAGCCTGGGCCAGGCAGCTGACTTACTCGCCCAGCCCCATAGCCTGGGGCATCCCTCAGCAGCCCTTCAGCGCTCCCCACGCCCATCCACAGTCCCAAGCCTGCAAACCCCAGGCTTACGATGGTCTGAAATACCCAAATGAGAAGACAAAGTCCTGGGGGAGGCGAGACCAGACACCTTCCTTGCTCCTCTTGGAGCTGGCTCTCCTTCTCTGAGAATAGGAAGTCAGGGGCCTAGTTTGTTTCACAGAGCCCTCACCAAAGTCCTCTAGACAAAGGTAGATACCATCAGCTTTATAGGCACCACTGAGCGCTTGAAAGATGAACAAAGACATTGTTTTTGCTGGCAATTGGCCGAGGGGGGGAGGTTCATGCAAACCAGCACAGGAGGCAGCTAGAAGCTGGCAAGTGCCCAGCAGTCTGCATTCTATGACAGCCATTCCCGACAAGCCCCGCCTCGGGGCAGGGTTGTTGGTGACCTCCGAGGGGAAGGGGCTGCTGGCCTACCTGGGCTCCTGGGCATGTAGGTGCCCTTCGGCCTTCTGGGAGGCCCTGTTGGGAGTGGAAGGGAGTGGGGCCTCAAGTTCCTGCACGTAGGGCACATCCCCAGAACCCGAGAGTGCTCAGTGAATGCCACTGATGAAACAGACAGAAAGTCTTGGTGTGACAAAGCAGCCACTACTCTGCCCAGCCCTGGCCTGCCCTGGACTGTGCCTGCCCACAGTCCCAGGCTAAGATCCCCTTCATAATAGAGAAGCTACAAACCCGAGGATGGGCGTGCAGGTGGTGAGATGCTGCGGCCAACACCCAGCCTCAGAGCCCCAGCTCAGCCCAGCCCTTCACCCTGAGCAGCAATATTTTTTTTTTTTAAATATAATGCTAGGGGCTGAAGCAATAGCCTAGCAGGTAGGGCGTTTGCCTTGCATGCGGCCAACCCGGGTTTGATTCCCATCATCCCATATGGTCCCCTGAGCACTACCAGGAGTAATTCCTGAGTGCATGAGCCAGGAGTAACCCATGTGCATCGCCGGGTGTGACCCCAAAAGCAAATAATAATAATAATAATAATAATAATAATGCTAGTTGATGAGGCTAGAACAATCGTACAGCGAGTAGGCATTTGCCTTGCATACGGCTGACCTGGGTTCAATCCCCAGCATCCCATATGGTCCCCCAAGCACTGCCAGGAGTAATTTCTGAGTGCAGAGTCAGGGAATAACCCCTGAACATCATTGGGTGTGACCCAAAAAGCAAAAAAAAAATTAGTTTGGGGGTGCTGGAGAGACAGAATAGAGGTGAAGGCACTTGCCTATATACAGCTGGCCCCAGTTCAATTCCTGGCATCATATATGGTCCCACCAGGAGTGATCCTTGAGCTCAGAACCAGGAATAAGCCCTGAGCACTGGTTTGGTCCCAAACACCAAAAACCAAACCAAAAGGCTTCGTATTTATTAAAAGAAAAAAAAAGCTAGTGAGAGGAGACAGAAGTCTAGATTTAAATTCCAGCTCTAACATCAATTAATTGTGCCCCCCCCCTTTAAAGAATTTTGTTTATTTGAACTTTGTCTTCTCATTCATGACTATGGTTATAAGGATTGATTTTCTTGCCCAACTCAGTTCTAGACTCCTGAAAGGCATATCCTGTAATTTTTATTTATGCCTCTTATTTTTGTTTAGAATGAAGTACTGTACAGGAGAAAGCCTCAGAAAATGAGTGGCTGAATGAGTAGAAGGATGGACAGTGAATGGGCAGATGGACAGATGGACGACAGATAATTAGTTGGACAAACAACTACCTGGACAGATGAACAGACAAGACAGGGTCACCCAGCCAGTAGACGCTTAGGCAACCTAGCAGGGAATGGGGAGAAGGTGCCCTTGTGGTGGGGTGGAGTTGGCACTTATCTTGTATACAACTGACCCAGGTTCGATTCCCGGCACCCTGTTTGGTCCTATGAGCCCAAAAATCTTATCAGGTTCTTCATCAGGGAGGTAGCCCTGTAATACTACCCTTGAGCCTAAATTATGACTTTGACAAACATGCACACACACACACACACACACGCAGAATCAAGCTTAAGGAGCTTTTGTCCCTCTCAAGTTGGTAGAGGGCCTTTCCTGGAGAGTATGAGGAGAGTATTATACATCCTGAGATTTCAGCATCGTGGGGAGTCAGAACTGAGAGAGGACTTTTTGACACATGTGTCTGCATGAGCAACCACCCCTGAGTGACACATTGCAGTCTTCCCTTGAACCCAAGTCACAGTGGTCCCCCTACCACACCTCCTACCCTTGAACTCACACTTTGTCCACATCCTCAGGTCTGGCATGGTGGTTAAGAAGTGCTGTATCTCCCCCAGAGCTTCACATTAGTTGCTCAAAAGTGTCCTTTCCTGTATATTAGAGAAGGCCACCTGGCATGGTGGGTGGTTGTGGTAACCATCAGGTCAAGGGGTTGGCCTGTGGCCTGGCCACTGGGCATCATGCCCTCCTTTGTGAAGTTAGATGGTAAAGATCCATCTGGAAGATGATTATCAGGGTCAGAGAGGAAGTTTTTTAGCAACCTGCAGTGTTGGTGGCACCCAATAAGTAATAACCATGAATATCCTTGTTACTCAGAGGGCTTGAAAATAGAAGACCCACCACATTCCAATTCTCTCCTCTCTTTCAGAATCTTGGTCAACATGGACAACAACATCATTCAGCATTATAGCAACCACGTCGCTTTCCTGCTGGACATGGGGGAACTTGATGGCAAAATTCAGATCATCCTTAAAGAGCTGTAGGGTCCAAATCTCCAGCCTTCACCCCTCAGGGTATACCGACCCAGGGAGTCAGCTGGAAAAGTGACCCCCACCACAGACCACCTCTCCACGTGCCTCAATGCTGTTACTTGAATGACTTTCTGCGAGTCACAAACCCACAGATGCCAGGGCAAGAATGGACCTGGGAGGTGTCCCGACCCGACCCCCTATCATTCAAGATTATGCTTGAATCTCCTCCCCCGACTTCCTATCAGTGACCACCAGTCAGATTCAGTGTCACCTTGGATATGCTGCTGAACAGACAGCTCCCTCCTCAGAAGACCCCTTTCTGCTAATTTTCCACCTGCTGGACTGACATGGCTTGCTCCCAATCTGATTCTTCCATCGGCTTTGTTACCAGATTTTTCCTCCTCTGTTCGATGAATCTGAAAACTCTTTTCAGTGCAAATGCCTTCTAAAACATTTACAGTGGAAAACAAACAAACCTCCTCAGTGTGAGGCATAAACAATAGAGTTGAGCAACTGGAACTAAGTGAACACTGAGTAAAGTGACCACCACAGTCACTTACTGGCTTCCACATTTCTGACAGTTTCACTGATGTTATATATATATATATATGTAAGTGTATATTGTATATATATATATATATGCAACATTTTATTTTATGCAACATTTATTTTATACTGACCTTGTATACATTTTTATCATTTCAAAAATGTGTATTTCATATTTCTCGGACTATTTTTTTTAGCTGTTATTCAATAATGCATCATTTTGTATACGCATGTGGTATTTAGTAATAAATTTCTATGTATGTGTTACTTCAAACGCATCACTTGTTCCTTTTGTGGGAGTCATGTCCACCTCTGAGTTCTGGCATGGGCAGCTTTCCCAGAGCACTGGCTGCAGCAGCACTAGCCCATTAGGGGGAGTCTGGGCCTCTATCATACTATTATTTTTTTGTTTTTATTTTTTAACCATTTTATTGAGGTATTGGAATTTACAATCCTGTTCCTCAGATTTCTCATGCACGCATCCTTCCAACACCGCCCCCGTCACCACTAGTTTCTCCACCAGTGTCCCTAGGGTCCCTCCTACTCAGCTCCTCCCTGCACCCATGTAAACTCAGTTCCACAGACAAAATTTTCACTTCCAATGATTTTGATTACTTTTTGTTTTCTTACTATGTTTTTTTTTTATTCCACATATGGGATTTTTTTTTTTAAAGACTGTGGAGGTGGTAACACCTACATATATAGAGATGGATAGAGCTAATTATCTTGTATTTCCACAAAACTGTAAATCAGTGGTGGCTGGACAAAGAAAAAAATTTTCCAAAAACAGTTTTAGACATATTCAATTTTTTTTAATTATCATTATGTCATTATGAATAATTCTTTGCCGATACATTTTAAGTTTTACATGAAATAGTTAGATCCTATAAATGTAAAAATTAATAAGAATGAAGAAAAGTTTAGAAAAAAAATTTTTTTTTTTGCTTTTTGGGTCACACCTGGCAATGCACAGGGGTTACTCCTGGCTCTGTGCTCAGGAATTACCCCTGGCAGTGCTCAGGGGACCAGATGGGATGCTGGGAATCGAACCCGAGTCAGCCGCGTGCAAGGCAAACGCCCTACCCGCTGTGCTATTGCTCCAGCCCCAAGTTAAGAAAATTTTAAGGGGAGGGGCTAGAATGAAAGCACAGCAGGTAGGACATTTGCCTTGCACGTGACCCACCCGGGTTCAATCCCCAGCATTCCATATGGTCCCCTGAGCATTGCCAGGAGTAATTCCTGAGTGCATGAGGCAGGAGTAACCCCTGTGCATCCCCGGGTGTGATCCAAAAAGCAAAAAAAAAAAAAAATTTTTTTAAGGGGAAAATCTGAAGAGGCCTATAAAAGTGTTTTATGCTAAGAGATGTTGGCTTTATATTAGAAATTGTATTATAGATACAGCTTAAGTGTCTGCATTGATAAGAAAAAGATGGTAATAAAAATCTCTATGAATGTAAAAAAAACCCCATCTGATCAGATAGAGAACATTCGTAAATGAAAAGATAACTTGTTATTGAAAATGTACAAAACTGCTAGCAATTTAGGAGTAAACACAGCTTTCATACTCTAGTAGAGGGCAACAATCAGCATCATGAGTGAATGCAATACTGATTGACAAGTGCTGAAAACTTTTTCTTGTCTTGAAAAGACGCTCCTATAATGCTTCTTGCAAACCTGGCTTCAAGGCTATGAGTTCCCTGAGCTGTTACCTGTCTATGAAGTTCTGCATGGTTCCTTCAAATCTAAACAATTTCCCATATTGTTAGAGTGTTCTTGGTGAAGTATTCATTTCATAATTTTTTTGTATTTTATCCTTCCGTTTTCTTCTGACTCAGCAGGTATCGTTTGCTAGATCTGCTGTGAATCTTACGGGCTTTTATCTGTATTTGTTATTTTTTTGACATTGCTGTCTTCAATATTCTTTCTCCTCTTTGGTTTTTGTCATTCTGATGAGCACACTGTGTCTTGGAGTGTTTTATGGGACCCTTTGAGAGTCTGGTCTTCTTTAGCAAGCAGTGTCACCTCAGCTGCTCTCAGGTACCCAACCATGCAGTGGATTGCCTGCCTTGCCCCTGGACATGTAAGACCTTGAACCCCCAATTCTAAACTGACCTCGGAGAGGTGAAGGGAATGAAGGTGGCATGAAGCTAACTGTCTAGGCAGACTCAGTTATTCTCCACAGTGTTTATAGTGACCTCCCATTATTTCTAAAGAGAATTTAAGGTCGACAAGGCGAGATTTTGTGAGAAGCAAGAATCTGTTTAATGAGATATGTTACTCCCTCCTTCTGCCTTACTCCCCACAATCAACTACCAACCCACTGCCAGCAGGGGTCGGAGGCTGAGGGGGTGGGATCTGTTTGCTATGGGATGGGTTCTACTTTCAAAGCGAAGGATAAAATTACTATTTGGAGGAGGAAGAGTTGGAGGAGAAGGAGAAAGAGGAGGACAAGAAATTACATCTATTTACTCCTGGTTCTTTAGGAATCTCTTCCTCTTATCAAGAGGAAATGATTGGGCCGGTCGGAAAGATCTGGTAATGAGTGTGTCAAACATGACCAAAGGTCAGCAATGGGATGGAGACCAGGGCAGGAGAAAGGACCAGTGAAAGGAGGTCCCTGCAGTGGTGGTGTGTGGCCTCTTGCTCTCACACCTTGGTTACCAGGGTGCCCCCTGTGACTCTGCCCCTCCTGCCATTAATGACAGAATCAGCAAAAGGTGTAGCAGCTTCCGTGGCACACAAGCATGAGAAACCATGGGGTCTGGGGGTCAGCTGAGAGATACGAAGGCTCAGCTGAGGGCCAATGGGTGCTCCTGAATTCCAAGAAGAGTCTAGAATGGGAGCATCCGAGGCCATGGTCCTGCACAGAAGGCCCACTCTGGGCCCCCCGAGTCCTGTCTCAGAACCAGGCTTCAAGGAAGCATCAGATATGGCTCCTCCTCCCTGAGTCCATGCTTTAGGGCCCCCTACATCTGAGGGGGTACACAAAAGGCAGCCTGTGGGGGCATATGGAACCAAGGAAAGCTCTGTTCACTCCCACTTTCTGGGCAGGAACTCACTGGAGGCAGCCGGGATGGATGCCTCTGCTTTAGGAGGCAGGACAAGACTAGGACAGGCAGCTAGAATGCCAGACTAGGTGGCAAAGCTGCCCTCCCAGGTCATCAGCAGTCACACAAGAAATACAGATTCTCAGGAGGAGTTTCGTGGGAAATGTGGGGTTCGAGGGGGTCAGTTGGTGGCAAGGGTTCTCCTGAAGCTGGGGTAAAGTCATCACAGCACAGGGATCCATTTGTTGTCCTCGTTGTAGAGAAAGGACTGCTTTCCTGGGAATTCTGGCCTGTAGGTGGCTGTGAGGGAGAGAGAGGGAGAGCATCAGGAGGAGAAATGCCAGCCTTCAGAGTCCCTGACATTTGACATCAGAGCTGGCAAGGCTGGTGCGGGTCTCTCTCTACCCCAGCACTTCCCATGTGGAGAGACTCAGGAAGGGACAGACCCAAGGTTATGTGGCTCTTAAGTAACAGGCAGAGCTCAAATTTAGGTTTCTGCCTTTAAGAGGAATAAAAGCTCCTTATAAATTTTCTGCCAGAAGAAAATCTCCAAAAAAAGGTTATCTATAAATTGAAAAAGAAAATATTAAGTAAAGCAAATAGCTTAGTGGGAGCTTGTATTAACTTCATTCAGAAATTTCCAGGACAAATAGAGGCCAGGACAAAGACAAGCCTAGGAGACAGGCAGCCAGCCGTGGTAGCACAGGGGGCCACAATGAGTGACATGGGACTCTCAGGTTGACACTGATTTGGCCCACGAGGGGAAGTGCACGGCTTCTGCTGAGGCCCTGGGGGTGCTCCACCTGGGACCACACAGTCACCCAGGGTCATCTGTGACTGCATGTTCTGACACTTAGGAGCTCCGAGGAAAGCTACCAACAGCCAAGCTGGTCACAGCAGCAGGTACTGTGGACACTTGGGAAAAGGGCTAACATCAGACAAGACTCGCTGATGGGGAGTCAACTCCCTGAGCCTCCCAGAGTTGGCCACTCCGGGGAGCAACCAGTACCTTCTCAGAACCACAACTCTGCTGTACTGACCAGGTCACCCCGGGAGGAACCTCTGCAGACTCCTAGCCTCTGAGTCTGGGGCACAAGCATGAGCCTCCCCGCTGCAGCTACCTGACAGCTCACTCCCTTGTCTGTTTCCCCGCCTCCCTCCCCATTTCGGCTCTGCCTTCCTTCTCCCCTTGCTCTCCAGGTCCAGGGGAGAGCAGATTACTCGGCCCCATTGGACCAAGGATTTAAATGTGTGTGTGTGTGTGTGTGTGTGTGTGTGTCTGTGTGTGTGACATGAGGGTTTGTTGTTGTTGTTTATTAGTGAAACACCATGAGGTACAGTTGTAGACTTACAAATTTTTGTGCTGGGGTTTCAGTTATACAATGATTGAGTACTCATCCCTCCACCAGTGCCCATTCTCCACCACCAATGATCTCAGTATCCCTACCACCACCCCATCCCCCCATCCCACCCCACCTCTGTGGCAGGGCATTCCCTTCTGTTCTCTCTCTCCTTTTGGGTGCTGTGGTTTGCAAAAGAGGCATTGAGTGGCAATCATGTTCGGTCTATAGTCTACTTTCTGCATGCATCTCCCATTCTGGGAGGATCCTCCCAACACCCTTTACTTAGTACTCCCTTCTCTATCTGAGCTGCCTCTCCCCTTAGCATGTGCAGCTGACCTCCAAGCCATGGAGTGAACCTCCTGGTACTTATCTCGGCTATTCTTGGGTGTTAGTCTCCTATTTTGTTACTTTATATTCCCCAGATGAATGCAATCTTTCTATGTCTGTCCCTCTCTTTCTGACTCATTTCACTTAGCATGATACTTTCCATGTAGTACCACTTGTATGTAAATTTCATGTTGTTGTTGTTGTTTTTAACTTTCTGACAAGTTAAAACTTTCTAGCTGCTCTGGCCAAGATCAGGGTATGATAAGTAGCTACTAGAGGGGACAGAGAGCACTGCCCAGTGAGTCCTGCCTGCTCTCTAGTCCTGGGTGAATCTCTGTTTCAGCACCTCCAGAAAAGGTGGCTGAGCCACTTCGTGACCTGTTCCTGCTGATTTCTTGACAAACAGTGGGAGCTGGGAGGGGATCCTTCTGGTTCTCCACCCTGTCACTCACTCCCTGGGGCGCTGGGCCTCTGTACAAGTCTCCCAGTTCAGTAAATGACTTGGCTCCTCAGGACCAAGGATTTAAATTTGTGTGCGTGTGTGTGTGTGACACGAGGGTTTTTTGTTTTTGTTTTTTTTTAACTTTCTGACAAAAACTTATGGCCTCTTTCCTCCAACAATAATGTCTGCCTACTTTCAGCCTGCAGAAATTTCACAATTTCAACCTCACTGTTTCCCTAGTGCCCTTCTTGGAGTTTCTAGAATGTTCCTGTTCCTCAGTTATGAAGCTCTGACCTAAATGATCTCTGAGAGAACTTTCCCCTTAAAATTAAGAAAGAAAAGAATAAAAGAGCTTTCATATTCTAAAAGTAGGAACTGAAAAGTCTTCCAGATTGACTCTAAGCCCTATAAAGTCTTTGGCAAACAGCCAGTAAATCAGAAGCATCCAGGGACCCAGGAATGGCAAACAATTGCAGATTGGTTTTTTACAATCATTTAGAACCATCCTCTGACCTGGGCCCGGCAGGCCCGTGTCTGCTGGCGCCGCAGTCCACCGTTCAGTGGTAGACACAAATGAGGCGCTGGAGATGAAATGCTTTGGGGGCCCCTCATAATCCACGATCTCGTACTGCCCAGGGCCAGGGAAAGGCTGCTTCGGGGGCAGAGGCAGAGGCTGCGCAGAGAAGTTCAGGGTGGGGTTTCTCCTTGGGGAAAAAAAACACAATGGGAGGCTGTTACTAACGCAGATTGGGGAACAGTGACTGAGACACTCCCACCCCCACCCTATGACCTGCCCGAGGGGAGACCTGGGCAGAGCTCTGGGGGAGATCCCGATCCTTGATTCTTCCTCCTCCTCCTCCTCCTCCTCCTCCTCCTCAGACAACCAGAATAGTCCTGACCACGTAGGCTTCTCAGGGTTAAATGCAAAAACAACACAACACTCAGGACAGGCCTCAGCCTGAGGTGCAAGCTGAGCATTCGTGGCTGTTGGCTAATGTAGAATGGGGCAGCAGGAGATGGGGCGGCACCTGGCTGGGACCATTTTGTGAGTTTACATGGCCAAGACAGGAACCAAAACACTGAATCCCAGGGGTTAAAGACCAGGTGGTCTCTGAAGGCTATTACATGTCCTCCTGACAGGCAAGATGCTGGAGGAGAAAAGACTCACGTAGAAATCAAGACCCCTGTGCACAACACTCCCACTGACATTGTAAACTCTCCCCTTTCTGGCCTGTCTCCTCAGAAATGTTTTTTATTTTTTTGGGGGGGTGCACACTCACCAGTGCTCAGGGTCTACGCCTGTTTAGTATCCTGGGTTTGCTCTTGGTGGTATGGCAGGAGCTCTGCCTACTGAGCCACTGCTCCATCCTCATGACAGGAGGGGCCACTGCTTCTGACTCACACCTGCTGCTTTCGGTCACAGGACCCACTACATGGAAGCCAACCAAGCCAAGCGAAAGAGGGGACTTGGGTGCCTGGCTGCAGGGGCCATCACAACACATGCCACTGGTGGCTCACACCAGATGCCATTTACTAACAAAAATTGTAACAATGGCATCAACCAACACATCCAACTCAGTGAGAGGGAACCTAGAGAGATCAAGTCCAACCTTGCAGTCTTGCTCTAGCAACTGGAGTCTGGAGAGAAAGTTGAGTCATCATGGGACACCAGTGACATTGTGACCTGCCTAGTAATTGGGGACAGCTTGTGGCAGAGGGGACTGTGTACACAGACCTGAGTGTGAATGCCAGAATAAGTCCCCTCTTTGTATCTGCAACAAGGAACAAGGACACCTACTCTTTCTGAGGAGTCTGTAAAGTCTCTCTTTGCACATAATAAGCGCTCAATTAAAGCATTTCTATGCTTCTTGATGTACTTGCTCCTACCAATGAGCTGTGGAGGAGCAGCGGAGCTTCAAGAAGCAAAGACTAGGGGTGCTCCCTCATGTCAGAGTCACGAAGGGCAACGTGGACACTCCCACAGGCAGGAAAGGCTCTTGAAAGGCATCATAAACCAACTCGAGGCTCACATCTCTTCTGGAGGAACCGCTGGCTTGGGTGCTTGTACGGAGAACAAAGGTGCCCACAGGAAAAGGGGGGGAACCTTGACTCCTTTCTTCCCCTGCAGACTCCACGGAAGAACTGGTTCCAGTGTGAGATCAGCCACTTCTCCCCATTTAAATTAAAGCTGACTTCTCCTTGTTCTGGCTTGTGTCACCCCTTCAAAGCACCCCCAGAATTTGGATGAGTGTGTGACTAGCATTTAAGAGAGAGACTGGATTCCTAGAAGTTAGAGCAGGAAGGAGCCATGCACTGAGCACCCCCTCACCCCTCACTCTGGGGATTCCCAAGCCTTAATCTTTGCTAAGACCGTGAGGTGTAATGTTTGTTTCAGAAGGAGCCCCCGGCAGGAGGCTGTATGGCGGTGAGTCTCAGCAAGCCTTTTGGCGACAGTGCAGTTAGAGAGGGCTTTGGCTCTCCATGCTACCCTCTGTGCTGTGGAGTGGCTTGGGCCTGCCAGCACAACCCTCAGATCCCAGGAGAGCATCAGTCACGTGCGTGGTGCAGTGCCAGGTACTCCAAGATCCCCCACTTCCTGACAGTGACTTTGAGTTTCCACTGCTAGTGACAGCCAGGACTGTGGCAACCTAAGGCAGGGCTGGCTTTGAACCCAGACAGGTGTAGCTTGGAATTTCTCTTCCCCGCGTGTGGCAGTGGGCTGCGAGTCCTTCGGGAAACCTTGCTGTGTCCCTAAGACTTTGTGTCCTCATCTATGAAATGGATAATAGCGCCTGTTGCCAGGAAGGGGGCAAAGATTAAGTGGTGTTGTATCATTTTTTAAAAAAAAGTCGCAAAATCTTAAAAGTCTCTGCATTGAGAGTAGAAGATAGAAACTGGGGGCTGGAGGTGGGAGGGGAGAGAAAAAGAGAGGAGGAGGAGGAGGAGGAGGAGGAGGAGGAAGAAGAAGAAGAAGAAGAAGAAGAAGAAGAAGAAGAAGAAGAAGAAGAAGAAGAAGAAGAAGAAGAAGAAGAAGAAGAGGAGGAGGAGGAGGAGAGAAACTAACTGGAAGAGTGGTTAGAAGCTATAGTGGGAGAATTCACATTTCCCTGAAAGCTGATAAAAATCCTCCAGCTAGAAAGGTGGGGAAGAGCTTCTTTTAGCTCCCTATGCATTCTGGGAATATATACTGAGGGTGCAAAAAAAGCACAGTAAAAATGACATCTGTACCTATATGTTCATGCGACACTGTTCACAATAGCCAAAATTTGGAAACAACCCAAGCGGCCAAGAACAGATGACTAGTTAAAGAAACTTTGGTACATTTACACAATGGAATACTATGCAGCTGTCAGGAGAGATGAAGTTATGAAATTTGCTAATAAGTGGATAGACATGGAGAGTATCATGCTAAGTGAAATGAGTCAGAAAGAGAGGGAAAGATATAAAAGGACTGCACACATCTGCGGAGTAGAAAATAACATAACATGAGACTGACACCCAAGGACAGTAGATACAAGTAGCCAGGAAGACTGCTCCATTTTGGAAGCCTGCCTCATGAGCAGGGCACAGGGAGCGGGGAGGGGTGCGGGGAGAAGGCAGCTGGACTAAAGAGGCAATCACTAAGAAAATGATGGTTGGAGGAATCGGTCAGGATGGGAGATTGTGCTGAAAGTAGATAATGGACCAAACATGATAACCTCTCAATATCTGTCTTGCAAACCATAATGCCCAAAAGTAGAGAGAATTATGGGGAATATTGTCTGCCATGGAGGCAATGAGAGGGTGGGAAAGTGGGGGTTTATGGGGATATCGGTGGTGGGGAATGTGCACTGCTGGAGGGATGAGTATTTGATCAGTGTGTGATTGTAACTCAAATATAAAAGCTTGTAACTATATATCACAGTGATTCAATAAAATAAAAAATAGCACTGTAGCACTGTCCTCCCGTTGTTCATCAATTTGCTCGAGCAGGCCTAGTAACATTGTGAGACTTGTTATTACCGTGTTTGGCATATTAAATACATCACAGGTAGCTTGATAATAAAAATAAATAAATAAAAATTTAAAAAATGGAAAAAGAAAAAAAGGTGGAAAAGGAGCATTTTCAGCAGAAGAAAGAGCAGGTCTAATGAACAGAGGACAGACAAGTTATTGTAACTGTGTAACTGGGAACCCAGGGGGCAGAGTGAGTCCCTTAAACCACCTGTAATCCCCAGTGTGCCCCCAGGGGCCCCTCTTTGTTCACTTGTTTCCAGTCATGTCCCCCAACGGATCTTGGAAGATAAAGGAAAAGTTCCTGGGCATGTGAGAGAGTACAGTAAGCAAGGTGCTTAGCTTGTACACACACCCGACTGAGGGCAATTCCCAGCACCACACACGGTCCTTCAAGCCTCCCCGGAAATAACTCATGAGCACAGAGCCAGGAGTAAGCCCTAAGCACCATAAGGTATCATAATAAGTCAATAAATGAAAGGAAAAGTTCCCATTTGTGACATCTGACCCCAGCCTCATCTTCCAGGTCTCAGCTCCCATTTCACCTTCCAGAAATGCCAAACCCAACCCAGTGCAGCGGCTTCATGCCATTGCCCACACAGCGCCTCACTCCTCACAGGAGCACCTCCTGTGCCTACATGCTCTGATTCATCCCTCACATCTCTCCCGGCCCCCCTGCTCCTTCTCTGGCTGAGGAATCACTATCAGATCAGGGGTTTGGGCACCCTGCCCCCTGCACCTCCAGGTTCCACTCCCTGCTCTCTCCCCCAGCCCCCACCTGCCCTTCAGGTCTAACCTGGAGCAGAGCTAGAAGCAGGACATCAAATTAGGTCTATGCAAACCCTAGCCCCAACAGCTGGCTCCCAGGTCATTTGCTCTAGTTTTCTTTTCTCTGCTCATACATAGCACACTAGACTCTTGCTTGCTGAGCTTTTTGAGAGAATTGGTTCTTACTCATCGCTGAGGTCCCTGGCTCTATTCCCAGGACATTGCTGAACTGCAGAAGAGTTGAAGCAAGTAGGGAAACCCAGACATCAGAGCCCCACCTGATAATTTTTTTTAAATAGGCACCACACCCACACCTGGTGGTGCTCCGGGACCTGTGGCTATTCCTGGCAGAGCTCCTTTGGTGTGGACCAGAGGTGCTGGGGCCATGAGAGCCACACCCAGCAGTGTTGGGGGCCACTGGGAGGACAGCTGGTCATGTTCGGGGAGGAACATGGTGTCAGGGATCTAACTTGGGGTCTTGCAGATGCTCTGCCACTCAGGATATCCGCTCCCCCTCCCACACCTGACAGATTATCACATCCCAGGATGTTTCTTCTCCTTCGTGGTGGTGTGGCCAAATCACAAAGGTCAGGCTGAATCAAACCCAGGAGAGTTCACTGAGCTTCAGGACCAGAGCTTTTATGAGCCTCATCGCTGTTATAAAAGCCAACCTGGTCCTGCCCTATGGAGAGAAAAAAGCTATCAAAGGCTCTGAGTTGGCCACCACTGGATTAAGTGTGTTTGCAGCTTCTAGTGTGAGCTGTTTGTAAATCAGCCGAGAATAATGAACATCTCTGAGGACACAGCAGGTCACCGAGGAAGGCATCTGAGACCCTCAGGACACTCCCAGGCACACATGCACTCTGCCTCGGGGATTCCCAGGGTTGGGAGGGATAAAGGGGCAATTTTTTCTCATCATTAAAGGGCAGCAGATTGCCCCTGG